GCAGCAGCAGCAGCAGCAGCAGCAGCAGCAGCAGGAGTAACAGCAGCAGCATCACCATCGGCAACAACAACATTCCCATCAGTGACCCGACCTAACCCCTCTGCGACCCGACCTGACCCCCGCGCGTGCTCGCGACGTGACGCACCTGGCGTATGCGCTCCATGTCGATCTCGGCGAGCCGCCGCTTCTCCCACTTGTAGTGCTTCATGCACTTACGCTTCGCCGCGCGACAGAACTCGCCCGTCTCGACAAACACGTCCGCCACCAGGGGGCAGCCGCAGACCTCGTCCGGCCCGACCTACAAATAAATAGATAGACAGGTAGATGGATGGCTGGATGGATAGTAGATAGATAGACAGGTTAATGGATGGCTGGATGAATAGTAGATGGATAGATAAATATACAGAGAAACAAACAGAAAGACACTCAAGGAGGGCAGATAAACAGACAGACCAACAAAACAAAAATACCGACCAACAGACCAACAAGATAGACCGACCAACCAACAGATCAAATAACAAGACAGACCGACAGACCAACAAAACAGACCAACAGACCGACCAACCAACAGACCGAAAAACAAGACAGACCGACAGACCAACAAAACAGACCGACAGACCAACCAACCAACAGATCAAATAACAAGACAGACCGACAGACCAACAAAACAGACAGACCGACAGATACACACACCGACACAGGTACAGAGATCAGCGGAAGCAGCTCATTACAAACAAACGGACGGGACTGGCACACGTGTTGTCTCTTACCTTCGGTTCCTTGGAATGTTCCGGACACAGAACGCGCAGTCGCTTGCAGTAGGTCTTGTTGTTCTCGTTGAACGCGTCGCAGAACATCGACTGTCCCTCGATGCGCGTCTTGTAGATGGACCCAAACGACGTGTGGCTCTCGTACTGCGGGGTGCAACGTGAACGCGGCGTGAATAAATATCGCACTCGGCGCCCGACTAACATAACGAGTGGGCACAAGCAGCTGTCAAGGGGATCCAACTCTTTAGCAATGGTCCGCGACAGTCACAGATATTCTAGCCTTTCCATAATGATCCGTGAGTCACAGGCACTCCAGCCCTTCTACAATAACCTACGGCTGTTACAAGGACACTAACGGAATATGCCACAATAGTCGAATATAGACATGGGGACTTTAACCCCCTCCACAATGATTCCATATAGATTCACATTCTATATTCTATATTAAATTAGATTATATTAGATCTTATTCTTATTATTCTAATTATTAGATTTATTTCTTATTATTATTTTATTTCTTTATTTTATTTTATTTATTTTATTTCTTTATTTCTTATTTTATTTCTTATTATTAGATTTATTCTTATTATATTAGATTTCTATATTTCTATATTTAATATATTCTATATCATAGATTCTATATTCCATATAGATTCACGATCATCACAGGGACTATGTAACACTGTTCACGACTAGTGAAAGAAACTCTAGATCTAACCACCCTCTCTGCGACGTCCACCTCACCTTACCCGCTGCAATTCACCACTACTTCGACCTCACCTTGACCTTTACATCACTTTGACCTCTACGTCACGCCGTGACCCCCTCAAGTCTCACCTTGGCAAAGCATTTCTCCATGTGTCGCAGCGCGACGCGTGCGTTCACCTCGTGGCCGCAAGTAACGCAGAATATGTTCAACTCGCTCTCCTCACTCTCATTGTCCGTCGCTCCCTGCAGGATGCACACAAGCTACCGTTATACACTGACATCGAGGAAGGCAGGGAGGGAGTCAGGAAGGAAGATAGGGAGGGAGGGAAGGAGGGAGGGGAGGCAGCAGAGGAGTGAGGGAGGGAGGGAGGATGGGAGGGAGCAGGGGAGGGAGGGCACGTCAGGCAGTACATGTTATCAAGAGTAGATAATAACACAAGAGATGTTATGCGGCTAATACCTGTACTGTTACTATTTACTTTCTGCCGTACATACTAAGTAGATCAAGGGAGGGAGATGGTGAAGGAGCGAGAGAGGGAGGAAGGGAATAGGAATTGAGGCAAAGAGTGAAGGAGGGAGAGGGAGAGATTGGGAGTGAGGGAGGGAGAAATGTAGGCAGGGAGAGAGGGAGGAAGAGTGAGAAAGGGAAGAAGGAAGGGAGTGATGGGGAGGGAACGAGGGAGAGAATGAGTAAAGCAGGAAGGGAGGCTGGTAGTGAATGAATGAGTGAAGCAGGGAGGCCAGTAGTGAAGGATCGAGAGAGAACGAGAGAGGAAGTGAGTAAGTGAAGAAGGCAGACCCCCGAAGCGAGGGAGGGAGGCAGCGCATCCCCCCCCCCCACGGCGCATCATCGCACACCAACCTCGTCGTCGTTGGCGACGGCGGCGTGGCGCGCTCGCTCCATGTGCGCTTCCAGCTCCTGCTGCCGAACGTCGAGCTCCCCCAGGTGGCGCCGCGCGTCCTGCTGCCGCCGCCGGATCTTCTCGAGCGTTTTCTTGTTGTTCTCCTCGGCGATGCAGGGAGACGACTGCCACTGCTGGATGCGCTGCGGCAGCAGCTCGTAGATACGGCTGTGTGTGCGCAGGAGATAAACGGTAAGGTGGCGCCATCGAGTGGTGGGCAACGTCATAATTGGTTTTTTACATATTCATCTTTTTGTTTCTATCAATCTGTTACGTTCACCTGTACGCGGCTGTTAGAAAACGGAAAAAACTGTTTGGTGACACGATCGAGTGGCGGGTATCGTCATCATCGTTTTGTTTCAGTCAATGTGCTGAATATATACTATAAATATATATATAACGGTCACTTTGAGTGAAATGGCAAAAGCGGCGTTCGTGAAACGCATGGCTGTTCCATGGAGGTGGTTTTTTCTGCGTGACTGCTACTGGAGGGATATGCAAAAAGTGGCCTCTAAGGACAGGTTCACCGTTCTAGAGAGGTGGCAACTAACACAATATTGACTGAACTTATACTATCACATAATGTTAAATTATAAGGTATTTTAGTTTCTGAGCGTCAGCGTTAATGGCGGGGATGACATCAACGATGAAACAAGGTCGACGTGGATGAGACGATTAAAAAAACAACAATGATAGCACCAAGTATCGTGCATCTTGTCACGTATCGCATCTCGCGTCGTCTCACGTCATTGTCTCGCGCGGCGTCTCACGTCATTGTCTCGTGCGGCGTCTCGCATCATTGTCTCGTGTGGTGTCTCGCATCATTGTCTCGTGTGGTGTCTCGCGCGGTGTATCGCGTCATTGTCTCGTGCGGCGTCTCGCGTCATTGTCTCGTGCGGCGTATCGCGTCTCACGTCATTGTCTCGCGCGGCGTCTCACGTCATTGTCTCGCGCGGCGTCTCACGTCATTGTCTCGCGCGGCGTCTCACCTGCTCGCCATCTTCATGCCGCACTCGTCGTTGCAGTACTTGGATCCGGGCCGCGCCTCCTCGACGCATCCCGGCCCGAAGCACTGCACGACGACGGCGTCGCTCGCCGCCTCCCCCGCCGCCGCCGGCTCCTCATCCGCCGCCACCGCCCAGCCCCCCCTCTCCTGCGACTGTCCTCCGCCGTGCGCACGGCCCTTCGTCTGTAACAGGCGTGCAAGTCGGTTGTGAGAGAAGGAAGTGTTGTAGATACGTGATCGTAGCCGTGAATCTAACCATACCTACAACTCTCTCTCTGTCTCTCTGTCTCTCTGTCTCTCTCTCTCTCTCTCTCTCTCTCTCTCTCTGTCTCTCTGTCTCTCTGTCTCTCTCTCTCTCTCTGTCTCTCTGTCTCTCTGTCTCTCTCTCTCTCTCTCTCTCTCTCTCTCTAATCCTTACTGTAGCCCTAACAGTAACGGTAAAATCGTGATGGTAACCTTAACTGCGATCCTTATACTAAAAATAAAAATAAAAATAAAAATAAAAAACCGTAACAGTAACGATAGTCGTCATTTTAAGCACAACCAAAATGCCCATGTAGCCATCACCCTAGCCTTTACCCTAACCCTAATCATCATCCTAGCCCATATCTTAAAGCGTGTATTGCGAGAATTTTCCAGTGTTTTCCCCACTTTCATGATACCTACCGTTATTGCTTGAGTAACAGCAATTGTCTAGAGTAACAATAAAATGTCTTAGAACCTTCGTATTCACCGAAAACTGCCAGTTTCGAACTAATCGTTTTTTTAAACGTTTTTCATCTTGAACTAACAGGAAGTATGGATTAGCTTGTGGCACCACTGCTTATCTGCCATAGACATAGTACAGGCACGCACTTGTTTTTAATTCATCACCGACACAAATACAAGTTTACCAATTCTGCCATTAGGCATTGTCGCGACACGATAAAATGCATTGCTGTTACGATGTGTTCATATCCAATTTTCTAAGCTATAACTGCATAAAATCTTAGGATTTTTAATGTTGGTGTAATCAGTGATATTTTCGCTGTCAGGTGAGACTATTTTTCAGCTATATTTAGTTTTTCTGAGCAAAAATCTCGCAATACACACTTTAACCCTAACCACATCCCTCGCCCTCACCCTAACCCTTACTCTAACCATAACCCTTAACCATAACCCTAACCCTGACCATCACTCAAGGCGTATCTCGTAATCTTGCGACAGCACCAACCTTTTTGTACTTGGTCTTCTTCTTGAGGCGTGACTGCGGCTCCTCCTCCCAATCCTCGTCTTCCTCCTCCTCCGCGCGCGCCCGCGACCGATGGTACTTCTGCCAAACAGAGACGCACGCTTGTTTAGCACTAACAACGCCAGGGGGCGAGCTCAATTCACACACACACACACTACAAGTCTCTCGCGGATGTATTTTAGCCCCTGGGTATGACGTTTCGTTCGCGGACCAACCTTCGAGTGAGCCGAGCTCTTTGCGCGCCGCTGAGACTGGCCACCGGCGCCACCTCCCACGTGGCGGAAAGCATCGGTGCTGCCCTCGTATTCCGTGGTGGCAAAAACGCTCGGCATAGGTCGCTCGAACGGTTTCAGCTTCCCAGGTTTTCCACCCGTCAGCAGGCTCTAGGGGATAAGAACAGGTTGCTAGTGAAGTAAATGTAAAGTGTTTATATATATGCTACCAGTGGACTAACCCCCTACTGTAGCATTTACTGTGAAAGCAGCTGAGGGCCTCAGAGTTACTGAAACGGAGATATGCACCGCCCTATGCGCCATATGCGCGGGAAGGATTTAACCTAACTTAACTTTAACTTATATATATATGTGTGTGTATATATATATATATATATATATATATATATCAGAAGTAGACAATAGGGAAGGAGTGTGACTTCAATAAACCAGGCGAAAATTCGTCATTTACTAGCCTCTAGATACCTACGATTTACTACGCGTACTCAACACAACTTGAGCTCCAATCGTTCACAGTACACTTCGCCTAGCATTCGTGCTAAAAATCGTTTCCTTCGGTATACACCCGCAATCGGAGCGATACAGACTAAACGTAACGACACGATTCTCCATTCTGTTGCAGCAAATCGACTCCATAACCCGCCCCCAACTTTGAAACAATAGGCTAGCTCTAACGAAATCTTGTGCACTCTTGCTGCCGACATCGACATCGGACACTTGGACGATTCAACGCCAACACTCGCGCGACGCTAATCTTTGACCTATTTACAGCTGAATGCCCCCACGCACGCACGCCCAACCCACAATTAGCAGCGCTCCAGCTCCAATCTCCCTAGTGAGCCAACACCGCATCGCCGAGGGCCACGAAGATGTGCGCAGAGTTCGGTTAGTAGCTGCTATTTGGGTCAAGTTAGCGGGTTGTATATACATCTCGCGTATTGCTAGTCAACAGAATGAGAATCTTCTGTCGTAATGTTTAGTCTGTATTCTCCGGACTTGCGAGTGTTACGAGGAAACGATTTCGCACGATGCTAGGCGAATGTACTGTGTCGATTTAGCAGCTCAAAGTGGTTCGAGTTACGCTTTTAGCTGTAAATCGTAGGAATTCTAGGGCCTAGTAAATGAACGAATATTCCCTTGTTTATTGAAGTCACACTCCTTCCCTATTATCTAACTTCTGTATTATATATATATATATATATATATAATAACTAACACCTCCCTCTCTCATAACTGCGCATAACGCCCAGGACCCGGCAATCTATCAATAATCTAATCTAGGAATCTCAAACTGGGCTCACCAGATTCTTGCACTGCCTTCGCGGCACTGTTCTGCCGAATTTTGTTGGGTCCGCCGAACTTGCGCATGTCCTGGAAAACGGAGACAAGATGAGACCATGTAAATTGTATGCATGATGGCGAGACGACACTTCGTCTGATCAGCCAGTCGCGACAAGCGATTTTTGCGAGCATACATCATTACCTTATACATATTATCAGGAGTGAATTGCCAGACAAATTTGTTTCGTTCGCTCTGATATTATTACATCTGACACAGCGAGGCCTTAGCAGCACTCTTAGCTTAATTGAGTTTAATTGGAAAGGAAAAGTCACTCATGACTCAGATATTCGTATAAACGATGGTCTTAGTGTATATTAATATTATATACACATTATACATTATTTCATATTATTTTTTATGCTAATATGTACATGTATATGTTATAAATTACGATAAGAATTCTATAGTGTCATTGCAATGCTCTGTCACCCTGCATCAGGCCACCCTTAGATGTGCATATGTATATTGTATATTTCTGTTTTTGTGTATATGTTTTTGCGGAATACGAAATTATGTTTTTGTTTTTTTGGCGAAACGAAATAATTTTTGTTTTGGTTTAATCGGCCAATAAAATGTGTCGAGTAGCGGGCCACCGCCTGGCTAAGTTTGGCGCAGTCGGTCGGTTAAACTAAAAGGGAAACAAGCAATATTTTATCTTAGGCCTTCATCCATCACTCAGTACCATCTTCTGAGTGACACACAGTCTCATCACAGCAAATCGGTTCACACAGCTAGGGTCTCCCGATATCTGCCCTACAGAATATATTTTTTCCCCCCCCCCCCCCCCCCCCCCCCCCCCCCCCCCCCCCCCCCCCCCCCCCCCCCCCCCCCCCCCCCCCCCCCCCCCCCCCCCCCCCCCCCCCCCCCCCCCCCCCCCCCCCCCCCCCCCCCCCCCCCCCCCCCCAAAAAAACAACAAAAAACCCCGCACTCACAGAGGGCGCCACTGCGGCTGGCGGTCGCTCCCTCGTCAGACCGGTTCCCCGTCCACGACTCATTGTAACCACAACGACGACCGCGACACGGAATAACATCATGAATAAATACCGTACATATATTTACATAGTAATTACAGGATTTAATATCAGCGCTGCGCGGTTCCGCGTTCGTCACCAGGTGTGCGTCCGTACCTTGCCAGAAGTCGCAGGTCGCGCAGTTCGGTCTGGACGTGGCGGCAGCGCACTCGCCTCCGCATCGACCGATCGACTCACCGCCGCGTCGCTCGCTGTCGTCGCGCCGCGCCGACTTCTGCGAAACAATGACGGGAGGCAGAGATGTGACGGGCGCGCAGGATACTAGCGATGAACATACATGCTACACGATAATGTGTAATGTGTGTGGTGTGGTGCTATGCTATATATGCGTATATATATGTAAGTGTGGTGTGTGTTTATATCTGCACACGCAACACATACACACACACTATATATGTGTATATACAGGCAGGCCAGGAACAGGGTCAACATACATGTACACGTTATGTATGTGTGTGTGTGTGTATTATATGCACACACACACCCACACACACACACACACACACATATATTATATTTATATATATATATATATACTATATATATTATATATATATATATATATATATATATATGTATATACATGTATCCGGAATACATAATCACAAATTTGTCATTATTTACTCCTGACATGTATGCATATATGTATATGAATATGTATATGTGTAGTGCAGATTAAAAATCACATTACTGTCTATTAAAATGTGTGCGCGTACCACAGACGACCAGCTATGCTAGTGTGCAGTTAGTCCTGTGTCCCAGAACATGTGACAACAGACACGCCGCGGCACGTGACAACACACAAGGACGACAATTGACACAAAACGAACCTTTGAGTGTTTCGAGGAACTGGCGGGCCAGTCGCTGTCGCTGCCGCTGTTCTCCACCAAGTGGCGGTGCGACTCGTGCTTCGACTTCTTGCTCTTGTATTTGATGCGCAGGTTCGGATTGCGTTCTGGTAAAGCGTAGAGAAGTGACCGAGAACAAAAACATCATAGAAAGATGAACATCATCCACGCATCAAGCAATGCTGTTAGCGCCACCTATGTCATCAAGCAACGCTGTTAGCGCCACCTATGTCATTAAGCAACGCTGTTAGCGCCACCTATGTCATCAAGCAACGATGTTAGCGCCACCTATGTCATCAAGCAATGCTGTTAGCGCCACCTATGTCATCATTACCACGAGCACAGCTAACAATCCACACTTCTACACGTATCTGTATCATTTATATAGATAGCTTCACAGCATTACCGGTATGTGTTACCGGTACGGCATTTGTCTAGACAGGCGAGGAAGGCGATCCCATCCTGTACCAGAAAAACCTACGTGTCGCAGACACAAACATTGTCGCGCTGACGGAAAACGAGCGCGGCATGACTGAAGTCTATTTACGCACCTCTGCACATTTCGCAGAAGAACTGTCTGATGCTGTTGGCATGCTCCTGTGTCACACTGATGCAGTCTCCATGGAACCACTCGTTGCAGTTGTCACACCCTCTGCCGGCGCACAAGAAGAATGGAGTTACAACCCCCAAGCGACAAGTAAGACCCGTTCCGATAACAACGTTGCATACGGTACATTGTATCGAATTTCATGGTATTTTAACAATGCAAATTTAAAACCTACAAAATTTTTAGATATTATTTGAAAAGCATTGTAAGAATAAACTATGAGCATGCCATTACAAGCGTTTGTAGCAATGTAAGTGCATGCACACGCTCTTACATCATAAACCTCGAGGTATCCGTGGATCTGCATATGCAATATTTGATTGCGTTGGATTCGGTGTGTTGCGACGGCATGTTGCGAACAAGCTGGTCGACCTTCGCCTGTCGTTCTGGCAGCGCAAACTGCTTAGCAATATCTTTCTTCTGCAACGGATAACTTGTTTTAATGGACAAATTTATCGGTTAGTTCAGGCGACGCAAAAAGCTTCACTGTCGACAGGCTAGCATATAAGTTAGTGTCACTGGATAAATGCCTATGAATGGAATCAGTGGGATATATGTGGATCATTATCTCAAATATTCCTAGCTCTAATCTCATAGCTCACATTGTCTCGGCCACAGACATGTGGCAGACACAACGAGTAGTGTAGTACTACAGCTAAAGTTTACATACTTACACTAAGGGTACACACACGAGTTTAGCCACAACTTTGCGCACAACCACACCAAGGGGCGAACGAAGTCGCAGGTATACTCTCATTATTTGGTCACGCAAGAGAATAAGTGCACAGTTCAAACTTCATCAACACACATGGCATGCCTCTACGTCAGAGGCCACCGCAATGATACGCGCACCGCAATGATACGCGCACCGCAATGATACGCGCACCGCAATGATACGCGCACCGCAATGATACGCGCACCGCAATGATACGCGCACCGCAATGATACGCGCACCGCAATGATACGCGCACCGCAATGATACGCGCACCGCAATGATACGCGCACCGCAATGATACGCGCACACTTGCAAAATTGTTGGTAGTCGCGGTTGTTACTGTTGTACATGGTTACTTAGTGCTTAGAGCTGAGCCGAAATCAAGCCTGCATAGGTAAGCATGGCTGGACTGGATGATGGGCCATTTCCAAGATCGATCAGCATTTAACTCCGATAATGTACGAGCAGTATCGAGTAACAATAAACTATTACTACTAGTACTACTAGTACTGCTGAGAGGGTCTATGTCCCCCGGGGTACTGCCGAAACGTACCCTGGGTACGGTCCGGTATACCGGAACGTACCCTGGTCACTATTTGATATGGTTAGGGTTAGGATTAGGGTTAGGGTTAAGGTTAGGGTTAGGGTTCAGGTTCGGGTTAGGGTTAGGGAGTAGGCGTAGGCGACTCCCTATAGACTCGTTAGTGGAGTAGACGAGGTACGGTCCGGCATATTAGATAGTACCAGGGTACGTTCCGGTATACCGGACCGTACCCAGGGTACGTTCCGGCAGTACCCCGGGGGACATAGACCCTCTCAGCGCCACTAACGCAATGATTCACTATGTTCATGATTGCCAATACTCAATAGTTGGCTGCTTAGACAGCTCAAATCGAGTCAAACGAGCATTCTGGCGAAAAACTTGTGTGTGTATCCTCAGCCTTACTCACGGTCACGGTTTGTGTCGCACAAGGACTGTTCCCTGGAGAAACAGTAGGGCCTAGACCGAGTAGGCTCTGACTCATGACCTGTCATTTCCCGATGCTAATTTACTTTACGATTTACTAACCGAGTTAACTCTAGTAATAGTAATGCTGATAGGGTCTATGTCCCCCGGGGTACTGCCGGAACGTACCCTGGGTACGGTCCGTTATACCGGAACGTACCCTGGTACTATCTAATATGGAACCGTATATATGCCGTACCGTACGGCGTACCTCGCCTACTCCACTAACGAGTCTAGGTAGTCGCCTACGCCGGCCAGGGTACGTTCCGGTATACCGGACCGTAACCAGGGTACGTTCCGGCAGTACCCTGGGGGACATAGACCTTATGAGTATGAGCAATAGTAATACTATGTTAATTACTAACCAAATTACGTGATATTGTTAGAATGCAAGTAAGGACAAAAACAACAAGTGTAGGAGAGCAACACTAAGTTTACATACTCAATTTAATAAACACGACATATATCTGTCTAAAAACATGCAATTTATGAAGAAATATGCTGAATCGGCTGCACTAAAACTGGAGACAACTTCTAGCCGCCTATTCGTCACGGAATCAAAAATACAAATAACATGTTTTATTGTTGTAGAAGTTACATAATTATAAATATATGTTTGACGGTTTGGATGTTTACAGATGGGTTTTTGATAGTATACATATATATAGATATAAGATATAATATTGGCAATTGTGCGTACGAATAGTTCTTAATGCCATATTGCCATTGGACGGTGGCGCCCAGCGACAAGAGCGGTAGTTGCCAAAAGCTAGCGTCACACTCCGCATTCCGAGTCGCAGAAGGCAGAAAGGTTCGATATGATATGACTACTAGGCACTTTAATTTAATTAAATTTTTTTTTAGGGTTAGGGTTAGGGTTAGGGTTAGGGTTAGGGTTAGGGTTAGGGTTAGGGTTAGGTAGTCATATCCTAAGTGCCTAGTAGTCATATCATATCGCACCTATCTGCCGGGTGCTTCCGAGTCCGCTACCGTCGAACTGGTTTATTCCACGTTATTCGCACTTTATAATTATATTTCACGCGAGATGGCGCCAAAGAGTCATTTCTAAGCACAGAATTTTTTAATATTATTGGATGGTGGCGCCCTCAGTGCAAAGACTGCGCATGCGTCAAATGCTAAGGGTCATGGCGGATGCGCAGTCAAATGCTAAGGGTCATGTTATGTTCTCATAGCGGCATGTAAACAAACGGTACATATGCTACCTTCCTGGTAACGCAAACGCAACCGGAATGCATAGCGGAATGCAACTTTCGAAACCACCTTCGAAGTGTAAAATAATGGAGTCCGATTCGGAGATGTCTTTGCCACTTTTCGTCCCATCACGGGACGAAGCGGTTACAGTCAAGAAGGCTTTTGAACTGAAATCAGGAATTAACTACTGCCGATTTCGAGCATATGTAGGTAAGTAACTTAACATAAAATTTGTGGCCTATAAATAATCATGATTATATATTCATATTGATCTAATCGCAGTTTTTACCTCCGCGCAAACGGAGGTCATGCAATCGCTCGCGTGTGTGTGTTCGTGTGTGTGAACAGCTGTCGTACCAAAACTTGGAATCTGCACAATCTCGAGATTGTGCAGCGATTGTGCTGCCCAAACTGCGGATTCCCTAGTTTGGCTGACCAATCTCAAGATTGGGCAAACTGAAAACAGTCGGTGATTCAACAACTGCTCATAGCGAGTGTTAGTCCGAGATTCCTCTGACCAATGTCTAACCCACACCAAATCCACCAAAGTCGTCGGTGTGGGTGTTGTGCCCAAACTTGGAATCTTGCACAAACTTGGAATTTCAGCGCATCCGCAGTTTGGGCAACCAATCTTGAGATTGGTCAGCCAAACTAGGGAATCCGCAGTTTGGGCAGCACAATCGCTGCACAATCTCGAGATTGTGCAGATTCCAAGTTTGGGTACAACATGGGCATTGGTCAGAGGAATCTCGGACTAAGCGAGTGTGTGGTGCAAACTAGGAAGAGATTTATCTCATATTTATCCAATTATTTATTATAATCATTTAATATTTATAGAAAGGTGCCAAACACATTGAGGAAAGAAGGTATACGACCTTATAGTAATATGATATAACATTTGAAATCCTAATAATCATATGTTTGTGCAAGCTCTGTTTACCTCTGTTTGCCCAATCTCAAGATTGGTTGCCCAAACTGCGGATGCGCTGAAATTCCAAGTTTGTGCAAGATTCCAAGTTTGGGCACAACATAGCCAGCAGCGATCGAGCCAGCTGTTATACACACGCTCAACCGATCGATCGATTCAGCACCAGCTCGCCTTAGGGCGACCAGTCAGCAGCAGCTCGCCTTAGGGCATCCAGTCAGCAGCAGCCAGCAGCGAGCCAGCTGTTATACACATGTATACACAGTGCTCGAAATAAGAAAAAAAATGTGGTTGTCCTGCGGACAACCCAGGCATCAAATCGGGTTGTCCGCAACAATTTCTGGTTGTCCCAAAAAATATCCCGAAATCTTCTATTTTCAATCACATAATAATGTGATCAGAAAACACCTAAAAACAGTGGCGTAGCCAGGATTTTTTAACAAGGGGGGGCAAAAACAGCAAACTGCGCAAAATAGTGGATGACTTAATATTTTACTGGCTCCTCCGCCTCCCTCTCCACACCCTACGGCTCCTCTACCTCTCAGCTCTGCAATCTTTGTTTTGGGCGCCATATGCGAAAAGGTGACATTTTTGTTCATTGTTCTCTGCTCCCAAGATATGTAATTGTTCAGTGGTGGGTCTATGATTCCAAGGAGGGGGGGAAACAGGCGGGGGTTATGCGGTGTCCTCCCCCAGCAAATTTCCGAAACTTGCCTGGTATTGCTGGTTCCAATATCGCGAGTTCTACCTCTCATAGTCATAATATAACAATTATATATCCTGACATATACCAGTAGCTGGTCCCATATTTTTATCTTATTCACGATTTAATTCACGATTAAGATTTCTTGATGAGCTAGAAAACACTTGGATTTGAAGTATGAAACTGAACATTATTGTGCCAGCTAGCCTACACTAGTTGGTTGGGATTGATTGTCAGTTCAGATGCAAAATATTAAAAGCAAAAGGCTATACACCATAGATTAATTGGGTACCACGCGTATATAAGATAGCCGAGTCGGTTTAGAGTTAGTGTTAGGGTTAGGGATAGGAATAGGGTTTCTTGGTTGTCCACCGGACAATGTCTCAGACTGGTTAGGTTGTCCGGCGGCAATTCTGGTTGTCTCGGACAACCGGACAACGCTTATTTCGAGCACTGTATACATGTTACACGTTACAGTTAATTTAATTATGATTATGTCACGTCTACGCCTACGGTCTAAATCCTTCTAAGTTTTGAATTACCACTTTGCATTGTCTAAATTAACAGTGCGAATGGAGTGACAATTAATGTCATGCCAAATGAAATTGGACAAAAAGTTAGCTGAACTTAATTTGCAAATTATGCTCCAAGTCCAAATTGATTATTTATTTATTAAGTAAATTAAAGGGATACTGTCTGGAGTACTGGGAATTTTTAAGCGTAAGATTAGTTATGCTTTTAACTTAAGTCATTAACTAAAGTTAAACAAAGACAACTTGACAAGTTTAATGAATTATAAAAATCAGTTCGGCCAAACCCCAAATTCGGAAGTCTCGGGTCGTTGAACTTCCAAATTTGGAAGTTTTCGTACTCTTTTTCCCTTTCGGCAAGCGTATACCTTGATGTGTGGAATATTGAATGTCTGGAAAATCTGTGAGGTGAGTATATGTTCAAAAGTGGTTGAATTTGTTGAAAATAGATGACAATAGTTTAATAATTGATAATTAATAAATTTTAATAAATTATTACAAATATGTGTGTATTTTAAGTTATTCCTTTGATTCACCACTCAGTTTATAATGCATTTTTATTTATAAAGATTATCAGAAATTTCTCAAATTAGCACTAGTATTACTCATTAGGCAAGCCTTCATGCAGTTTGGAGCACTGAGGCTGTTTTCAAACTGTACAGTATGTACGTATACAGTGTGAATTGTATGTTCATTGATTGATGATAACCAGATGCAATTTAAATAATAAATTTATATTGATTTTTAGGTTTATCATGAATTTGTAATTATTTATTTTATCTATTTATTTTTTTGCACAGGGAAAGAAGAGATCACCCCAAGGAGCATCCATTTTCTGGATTCAAGTGGTGTTGTGAAGGAAAATGAGCATCCCTTCATAGTTGTCAAAACCGATACCTACGAGTGCATGTATGGCAGAGACCGGCATGCTGCACGGAAGCTCAAAGGGCAGGCTAAGGATGAGGAACGTATGATAGTGAGTGCCACTGAGTGTTTTCCATTATTATAATTAATTTGTTTAATTTGTTTATATTGGGTCTCTTATGACATGAATGGATGTAATTTCAACAATGTAAAATTTAATGATTTGCCCTTAGAAATTTCGAAGAACAATGACATCCTAGGAAAAAGCAAAAACTCCTCTTTCTCATGACATAGTGCATATCATCTACTACTATCATCAACTAATTTTTACTTCAATGTACCCTTTTACGTGGAATTGCCCAACTATAAAAATGATAAAAATTATGAAAACTACAGCTTACAAGTATGGCTGATTCTGTTAAGTGTAGTAAGGTAGCATATGTTGGTGCAACGCGCTGCCGAGGTACTGACGTAATACTGACGTCACTGCATGTACCGACGACGTCACTGCATGCACGCGAGCACCGCGCATGTGCGGCCGGCATGTGCGGCATGTGGGTTAATTATTCTCGGCTGAGCCGAGCGCCAACTCCTCTCAGTGTTGCACCACGACATGAAATAATATAGTTCTCGTCTAATGATGTAGCCAATTATTCTCGGCTGAGACATGTGCCAACTCTTCTCAGCGTTGCACCACATGCAGTATAAACTATAAAGGCCTTGTATAATGATGTAGCCAATTATTCTCGGCTGAGACATGCGCCAACTCCTCTCAGTGTTGCACCACAACATGGAATAATATAGCAACTTTTTGTAGGCTTGCGTAGGTAAATGGATGAGTGCTTACCTATTCTGTCTTGCAAATAGTTGTTGCTACTATGTACGATGGGAGCTTCCATCTTTAATCTGAAGACACTTAAACGTACGCGCCATCTCGTGGCAACTTTCATAACGATCCCAACAAACATACCTTTGAGAAGGTTCCTGATACCATCCCTGTGCATTCCACTGTTTCGGCGTGTATGTGAACACATTTGGGACTAACAGGGTTCACTAGAATCCCACCACTCCACCACAGAGTCACCGCAGTAGACGTTAGATGAGCGCTGTCGCTCCGCGGCACTTGTTTTGTTAACTGATCATTCTGTTGGTGCATTTCAAGGTGGCCCTTCCACCCAATAAAAACAAAAAGTAATAAATATTGTAGAGGCCTGGGTAGTGGCATAGACAAAGTAGGTATAAGGTGGAAACAATTACTTTTTCCAGATCTACTTTATGATTCAATTATCAAATCAAGGATCCCTAAATTTAATAATTTTGAATTTACGTATGTTCAATTTCATTCATTTAAATTATATACAGGAAGACCACCCTATGCCACTGAAACGGACATATCGAAATTGTCAAGCTTCACGAAAGAAGGGATGCCCAGCAACAATGGTCTTCAAAGAAGTCATTTTGTTTACCGACTACAAGGTTTGTTTAGGTTGCGGCACAACGTGTGGAGATACAAGGCCGTTCTTGCTAGTGTTATCTGCCCCACGCACTCCCAACCACAGAAACTATGCAATGAACATTTGTTGAAGGATATATTCATCATGCAAAATCAGAATAAATTAATCACAACTGCATTTTCCTCATAATATTTTACTTAATATTGCTGCTAATAGCTTAATAAAAGGGGGATTTTGCTGCATTATTTTCCTATAATATGTTACAAAGAAAAAATCTCAATCATGAATCTTGGCCCATCACAATATTTATATTCCATTTCAGGGTTCTCCCCAGGATGAAATTGAAACTGGGGGAGGGGGGGGGGGAGGGGGGGGAAACTAGGGGGGTCCGGGGAGCGTGTTTTTTACCGTAATGCGTAAAATCGCCACCACACCATAGACGGTGTTTGGGGTACTTGTCTATAAGGCAGCCGAGTCGGTACAGTTTGTGTTAAGATTTGTGCTTGTGTGGGGTCTTCAGTGCATGCGTAGTGTAGGCCGGTTATTCATTAGTGGTACCGTAAAAATACACGCGTCCGGAGGCCTGGTCGAATGGGAATTCTTTACGATCGATTTCCGCGCTGCCAAACTTTTATTGTGGTGGAATTTAAGGGGGGTTTAAACGGGGCGCAACGATTGAAACGTGGGGGGAGTTTTACCAAACGGGGCGGGCGCGCCCCGTTTGCGCAACGTAGGGAGAACCCTGCATTTTCATACACTCTTGATATCAAGCTAGAATATTTTGCCTGGATTTTTATGCCTCCGTACCGAAGGTGCCGGAGGCATTATGTTTTCGGGTTGTCATGGGTGGGGGTGGCTAATCCCCCCGTCCGTCCGGATTTTGTTATTTACACGATAACTCGTATGAATTGATGGAATATCATCAAACTTGGTGAGAAGGTCGAGTAGGACGTGGCAATTAACTTATTAGATATCAAGTGAGACAGCAATGTCCAGGGGGAGGGGCTAATTCACCTGTCTATCCGGATTTGTTCGTTTACGCGATAACTCAAGTATGACTTGATGGAATGTCATCAAACTTTGTGAGAAGGCCATGCAATTAACTGCAATTAACTCATGCATAAGTCATAACCCATTCAATTTCGAGTGAGATTGCATAGTGGGGGGTGCTAATTTGCCCCCACCTCGGACCTCTGCCATTTATCAATGTGTGGCATGTGTGTATATTATTTATTTTACAAGAATGCATAGTCGAATTTATGATATCTATCGTTATTCCTAATTGATTATGCACATATGCAAAGTTTTTTCCATGAATTGAGTTTTTCCTGCATTTATGGAGAAAGTGCAATTAAAGTTGGCGTGTTTGTAGCTTTTCATATAATCTAAACGAAAGCTTGGTCAAATTAATAAGTATTGAAATTTCATATTATTGTAATTGATTATGCAAATATGCAAATTTTCTTCAAATTCTTATGTATTTGTTTCCAATTTTATTAGCTCACCTTGACATCGTCAAGCTGAGCTATTGCCATGGGTCGTCGTCCGTCGTACGTCCGTCCGTCAACATTTCGCTACGGTCAATGATAACTCAGGAACCGTTTCACTCACATGTTTGAAATTGGGTATAGTTGTTACTACTATGCTTCCATATTAAACGTCCTATTTTGGAGCACGCCAGTCGACGTACTTTCGAGCCACGGCAATTTTTTGGCAAAAATGGGAATTGCCATTAGTCAGTTCAGGTTCAACGGATTTTGCTCATTTTTGGTATGTGAATGAATAAGGGCTACGGGTTTTGATATTAAAAAAAAAAAATTATGCAATTTATGCAAAAAACGCAGATAACAAACAGTCTGTGGTGTCACACTCGTCTGGTTCATTTTACAAGATTTCATTGACAATATCTTTAATGCAAATTTGGTATTTCTTCTCCACCCTGCCGATAAAACGTCTATATTAGAGTAAAGTTTTACAAAACATGTCGGAACGCAGCATAACCTATTTATTTCGAACGCCTTCGCTACAAAGCGGGTATAGCGCCATCTACCGTCCCAAATTGTGATTCATTTTGGTTTATAAATTATTATTGCGATATACAGATGGCAACCGTGTGCTACCGCCTAGAAAAAATCATACGAAGTAAACACTTCCATGCAACCAATTAACCTTTGACAAAAGTTGTGTTATGGGCAGGGAAACACCATTGTCACGTGGTACATATAGCAGCTACGTGGAATAAGCGTATCCCTCTCAATCTTACACGTTACACATCGGGAGCTCCGCTTTTAGGCGGTGCCTAAATCTGAATATCATAAAAACGTTAAATGGCGATCATTTAGGTGTAACGCCATCACTCGCCCTCATCTCAGATTTTCACATCTCAAACATTTATTGAGTGAGCTACAGTGTCATTGACACTTTCATTTTATTTAGAATTGTTTGAGTTTTGAATATTGATATAATGCGCTGCGCGAGAGGGCGGACGCATACCAGTCGACTGCGCCCAGTCGAATTACTCTAGTTTTCTTCTAAATTTTGTCAACATGTCAAATTGTCCATTTTTAGATAAACAACACTGCATCAGAGTGGAAGAAACGGCAGATGAGCAAGGTCATCCGCAGTGCCTTGGACAATGGAGCGGTTGAGCTAACTCAAGAGCACAGAGTGTACATCAAGTACCCCACAGAGGAAGCCCACCAATCTGTCCATGAATTAGGACCGGTAAACAATATTGTTCCATCCTAATAAAGGGAAATTGTATAGATTCAGCCTAATGGGGACTTTGAGGAGTGAAACTTACTGAAAAAAAACTCAATTGTTTGTGTACAGTTATGATATTGTTCATTTAGTTATATTAACGGAGAGAAAGAATTCTGACAGTTATCGTTATACTGTATTTACATTAGTTCCCTTTCATTTGTTTCAGCGTGTCGCTTACATTTTCTAGTGAAATAAAACTTCATTCAGGAAACGAGTTCTTCTTTATGTAAGCGACACGTTCTAACACATTCCCGGAGTCTACTTGTGCTTTGCAGCAACAAAGGGCGCTCCGGGAATGTGTTAGAACGTGTCGCTTACATAAAGAAGAACTCGTTTCCTGAATGAAGTTTTATTTCACTAGAAAATGTAAGCGACACGCTGAAACAAATGAAAGGGAACTAATGTAAATACAGTATACTGATAACTGTCAGAATTCTTAACGAGTTCTTCTTTAGTTTGTCCATCTGTCTGAGTTACAGTTTGTAGTACTCGCGTGGCTATCCCATGACTAAATTTGAAGATCCATTTACCATTTAATGTGTATGTAACTTCAGAAGACAATATAGCTATTCGTTTTTGCTGTTAATTATGAAATCTTTGACTTACCTTGACTGGGAAGCATAACTTTCATACATGTTAACGAAAAGAATAGCTCATCTCAGCCGAGAATAATTGGCTATACATCATTAGACAAGGCCTTTATAGTTTATGCTGTGGTGCAACACTGGGAAGAGTCGGCGCTCGTCTCAGCCGAGAATAATTGGCTACATCATTAGACAAGGCCTTTATAGTTTATGCTGTGGTGCAACACTGGGAAGAGTCGGCGCTCGTCTCAGCCGAGAATAATTAAATTGGCCGTGGCCAGTCGTAAGAATTATTTATGGATTATTCTTACGACATGCAACGCGCATACGCATAATAGTTAATAGTAATATAATGCTAGTTTTGGAAGTCTTCTACGCCTACTACCTAACCCCAACCCGAACCCTAACCTCTCACACTAACCCCAACCCTAACCCTAACACTAATTATAAACCGACTCGATTTCCTTATATACGTGTTATATCTTACAAAAACAATCTATGCCTATGGTGTATAACCACACACGCAACGCATGCACATGCGCGTTGCATTTCGTAAGAATAGCCACTTCCAATTAAATTGGCTCCAAAATTCATCATGATTATTTATAGGCCACAAATTTTATGTTTTAAGTAGTACATGCGCGCGCGTACATGCAGTGACGTCATTACCTCGGCAGAGTGTTGCACCAACATATGCTACCTAAACAAACCGTGCTGTCGTATTCGTTATCGACAATGCAACCGGTTGTGTTTGGCCAATTTGTTGTTGTTTTCTCGATTAGTTTTTGAGAACTTTGAACGCCAAGTGTTTTATTTTGTTGTATTGTATACCTAACCATTCAATAAGTCTGTGTGAGTAATGGTTATCTGTTAAACAGTTCGTAGTACAACTATTGAACTAACTTTACTAAGCCTAAGGCAAGGGAGTAAGGCTAAGCTTTACCGAAGCCCCGTTGAATGCACTGTAAGTGTATACAAGATCCGTAATAAAATGATCAAATACATGACATTTGCTGGGACTATAGAGATGGTGCACCCGGTTCACAGCAATTCACACGCACAATGCGCGAGACCTCTAAAATTACGCACCGTCGTACGCAATGTACAGTTATGAGTATATATATATACAATAATACATAGTCATGATAGTGGCTTGAGGTACCTCCGGGGGGGGGGGGCACTCGCCTCGGAACTGCCAACTGGGTATAGGGGGGTGCCTCAGGGACTTTGAAACCTGACCCTGTCACTAACGGCTTTTCGCCCTAAAATACACCATGTCCCAATATACTGCACTAAAAAGTATACCCTGTTGCAATATTGCACACTTCGGTTATGTCCTGTCCTCCTGTCAACATAGGCAGATATTGGTCCAATATTGTTTTGCCAATATTGGGCCGATATATTGGGCCAATATCAGCTTGATGGGTGGGTACCCCAAGAAGACCGCTGTAAAATGTTAAGACTGTACCCTCGCATTAACCACACTCACGATATGGGGGTGTAAACGCTACTCTGACCAATAACCCTGTGCCAATAATGATGTTCGGAAAATATACCTTGTCCAGTGGCACGTCTTCATGCACTACCTTTAACAATGGATGTGCCCCCTCCGGGGGGAGGTACGGCAACCGTAATTCGCTGAAGCCTTTTTTTGGCGTTTGTTTGAGTTGAGGGCTGAGGCAATTGTTCACGATCTTCTAATGTAAAGTTTACAATAATGTTCGTTTTCATACCTAATCCGAGTGTTTTCTAGCTCACCAAAACTTAAATCGTGAATTTATTTCCAATGGCATTTCGAAGTCTGGATTAGCCGCCGCCATCTTTGTCTCGTTTGTGGGAAAGCAAATGGACTGCCGTATACCTGCAGCCTCGTAAATTAGAGAGACGG